TTTAAATATCAAATATAGCATGTATGCTGGCAAGTATATATTCAGGTCAAGGATAACATTTGATATAACTCATCATCATCACATCACCTGGTGATTATCACTAAAATGGTAAACTGTCATTATTTCAAATAACATCAATCATCATGTCAACAATCTTGTATCCTAACTACCGGTAAACGGATTGTATTGTAAGCACGGTTCGTCATTTTAATCAACCAATGTTTGTAAAGCTCCTACCTGTTAATTACTGTGTGCATTATTGATGAGAACATAGTGACATCCGTGCTACTCCTCTTCAGTGGAATAGGGTGGAAGGGACGTAGAGTGGACTAGTCCTGCATTGTGTTGGTAAAGATTTGTTTGAATTGAAAATGTGTGACTGAAAAGCAAGTAAAGTGTTCAAAAATATACATTAGCACATTATCGTATGAAAAAACGAAAACAGTAAATAACTCTATTACCTGAGTCCCACTTCTTCTCCATCCGTGGCGGAGGACGTGGTTTGAGGGTACAGTACATCTCCTGTAGCTCCTGTAGGTCCTCCACACCGGAGTCAATGGTGCCGGTCTTGTACACGTATTTCGGTACAGGTGGCATCGGGCGGGGTACTGACAGGTTAAACGAGTCTGACAAAGAAGGAATTTGTAAGACTATATATATAGCACACACTTGTTTGTCAATATCGTAAATTTATGTAAATCATAGATGATTTAGATTTTTTTTTACTATTCGACCATGAATCCAAATATAAAAGCTTAAAAATAATCGTACCATCCAGTTGGGGCTTGCATATCCAGCCTTTTTTCTTCGCGATGACTATGAGAATGACAGCAGCTGTCGCCACTAGAACCACTCCAGCAGCGATGGAAGTTTTGATGACAAGATTCGGGATCGAGTCTGTCGAACAGAAGTTAAAAAGATTTTATACGGATACATTCAACTTGGTACATTGGCTTATCATGTCTATTATCAATTTGTTACAACGCCAATATACATGACATGTTGCAGACTGAAGTAAATGTAGTTGTAAGAGATCATTTTACTACCTTTAACTTCCAAGTGCATGTCTCGCTTGGCAGAACCAAACATGTTAGTTGTCTCGCAGATGTAGCTTCCACTGTCCTTCACAGCCACATTCTGTATGGTCAGTGACGAGGTCATTTCCTGATTTCTTTTGGTCGTAACGATACGGAAATCAGCATTATCTATCTCTGTCTCCAGCCCATAGTTATTTCTCCATATCCAATTAATGCGAGATGGTAATGGGTCGGCTGCTACTGTACAACCAAGCCGAACTGTTTCTCCAGTATCTGCAGATAGCATGGCGGTGTCGCCGTCTCCATCCATGTAAGGTTTTCCTATTAGAAATACAAAGCATAAAAAGGGTTCATTTTCAAACAATCTTAGATTAGAATCTGGAATATCCTTAATTAAGCAAGTTGTATTCCGTTGCTGCTTTTGATGCTTATTTGCTATGGCAAACTGTATGTCAATGGTAACTTTCTAGAAAATGATGATAAGGAACTAACCCACAACATCGACGAAAACATCCTTAATCGTTTGAGGAAATCCATCGCTTGTTCCTACGCATTGATATATTCCCTCCACGTCGTAGCGCACCCGGTTGAATTGAAGTGGATTTTGCCAGTACAACTTTGTATTCTTCCGCCGCCATGTTACTTTAGGTTTCGGATTTCCCTCGACAAGACAGTTCAGTGAGAAGTCATTATCATCTTGGAGTGCGAGAACCTTGTCGTACCAGGACGGGTTGATCAAGGGTGGATCTGTTTAGATAGAAATGTTAAAAATGTAAGATCAACTGAAGAACGACAATTCACATTATAAGTCTGCACCAGTCTGCACCTTTCCTCCATATGAATGTAATTGCTAGGTAGGTTAATTCATAGCCAAAGCGAATCTATTAGGTTATTAGAAATGCCGTTATCATAATCTTGTATATTAGATTTCGGTAGTATTATTATTACTTTGTCATACTTACACAGAACGTCCAGAGTGACAGTCCCCACGCCTATGGGATGAACACCATTATCTGCCGTACATTGGTAAACCCCTGCGTCTTGGCGAGAAGTACTGGCAATTCGGAACGACTTCTGCCTGGGATACAATGTCAGGATGTAGCATTAAAGATTTTGTGTAACACATAACTTGATATATATTGCCTAATTGCTAGACAAAACTTCAACNATTTTACTACCTTTAACTTCCAAGTGCATGTCTCGCTTGGCAGAACCAAACATGTTAGTTGTCTCGCAGATGTAGCTTCCACTGTCCTTCACAGCCACATTCTGTATGGTCAGTGACGAGTTCATTTCCTGATTTCTTTTGGTCGTAACGATACGGAAATCAGCATTATCTATCTCTGTCTCCAGCCCATAGTTATTTCTCCATATCCAATTAATGCGAGATGGTAATGGGTCGGCTGCTACTGTACAACCAAGCCGAACTGTTTCTCCAGTATCTGCAGATAGCATGGCGGTGTCGCCGTCTCCATCCATGTAAGGTTTTCCTATTAGAAATACAAAGCATAAAAAGGGTTCATTTTCAAACAATCTTAGATTAGAATCTGGAATATCCTTAATTAAGCAAGTTGTATTCCGTTGCTGCTTTTGATGCTTATTTGCTATGGCAAACTGTATGTCAATGCCCGGCATTGTCAATGGTAACTTTCTAGAAAATGATGATAAGGAACTAACCCACAACATCGACGAAAACATCCTTAATCGTTTGAGGAAATCCATCGCTTGTTCCTACGCATTGATATATTCCCTCCACGTCGTAGCGCAACCGGTTGAATTGAAGTGGATTTTGCCAGTACAACTTTGTATTCTTCCGCCGCCATGTTACTTTAGGTTTCGGATTTCCCTCGACAAGACAGTTCAGTGAGAAGTCATTATCATCTTGGAGTGCGAGAACCTTGTCGTACCAGGACGGGTTGATCAAGGGTGGATCTGTTTAGATAGAAATGTTAAAAATGTAAGATCAACTGAAGAACGACAATTCACATTATAAGTCTGCACCAGTCTGCACCTTTCCTCCATATGAATGTAATTGCTAGGTAGGTTAATTCATAGCCAAAGCGAATCTATTAGGTTATTAGAAATGCCGTTATCATAATCTTGTATATTAGATTTCGGTAGTATTATTATACTTTGTCATACTTACACAGAACGTCCAGAGTGACAGTCCCCACGCCTATGGGATGAACACCATTATCTGCCGTACATTGGTAAACCCCTGCGTCTTGGCGAGAAGTACTGGCAATTCGGAACGACTTCTGCCTGGGATACAATGTCAGGATGTAGCATTAAAGATTTTGTGTAACACATAACTTGATATATATTGCCTAATTGCTAGACAAAACTTCAACGGAACTTTGATCACTAACACCTTACATTTGTAGATTCTTACAACTACTATAGTGTGGCCATTATCTAGTTTTATTACCCAATATTGCCATTAAGGAAAGCAGAACGACTGGGTCTTGTCCATCTGATGGTGGCAGGAGGATTGCTGTTAACCAGGCAGGTCAGATCTGCTGTCTCTCCCTCAACCACACGTACCGATGGAATGGGAACAGCGACACTTGGAGGATCTATAAACGAAAAAAAGAAAGAGAAGTAGACAATTTAATGCTTAATAATATGCATTCTTGTCGCTTTAATATGATAGCAAATCCATTCGTTTACAGCATAAACTTAAACTTACAGTGCACCTGCAAAATAGTCCAGGAATCCTGAGCAGAAGTGATCTCCGGAAACGGTTGGCTCGCTCTGCAGGTCAGGTTCATACCGTTATCCCATTTGGTCAGACGCCGGAGGATAAGATCAAGCTCTACTCGACCTTCACTTTCTTTCTGTATCACTTGTTGCCCCGTA